GGGTCTTTCTTCCAGGAATATGGACATAGGGTTGCAGTTGAAGAAATCTCATGAATTTATAAAAGACTTGTATCTTTTTATTATATTTAAATGACATTAGTCTCCTCACACGATAATTATGTGTGAGGCTTTTAGGAAACCCTAGGCAATTCACTTATTGTAAATGGTTTGTTTTTCTATGGGGAAAAATGTTTTAAAATCTAGGACTTCCAGCTAATGCAGTTACATGAAAAATTAAATGTGTTTTTATGGGATCTTCATAGATCTTAAAGGCTTTCTGTTTCCCTAAAGAAAATGAAAAATTTTAGTGAGAGGACTTGTTTCCTGTTTTTCTTTCCAGGTACTGGGCCGTATTTATCTATACAGAGTGTCCTCTGCGCTTTCTTTGGCACTTCTTGGAAGTGTAGACTATGACCCAGAAGAAGCAGAAACAACATGGCATAGGGCACCCCAAACAAAGCATCCACCTTGGTTTCTAGATCTGTCAAGTTAAAGACTGAACTGAGATTTGAACTAAGAGCTTCCCAGATCCTGCTATTAGCCGCTGTATTACATGGGTTCTTTGCCTAGGTAGAACTAAAATGAAGTAGTCACTTTAACTATGGAATTTCCTAAGAGGGGCAGTGTGCCCATCAGTACCTTCATGATATCCATGCAAATGTCTCCATAAGTATCCCCACATCTATCAAGCAGAAGAGACTGTTTCTTCTTCCTGTTCATTTCCTGCTTGACATCCAAGACATCTATTTTTAGGATCCATCCTATTCTTCTAATGATAAAAGTGTTTTAACTGGTTTTATTTATGTATTTTTACATTGTTGTCACCCACCCTGGGACCTTATGATGATGCAGATTTATGGCAGGTACATCTTAATCATCATCCTAAAACACAGACAGCAGTGCACCCCCAACCAGGCACCCCCAACCTTCAGACCTCCAGATGTTTTGGACTACAGTTCCCATCATCCCTGACCACTGGTCCTGTTAGCTAGTGATCATGGGAGTTGTAGGCCAAAACATCTGGAGGGCCACAGGTTGCAGATGCCTGCATTAACAAAACAGTATGATCATTAGTATAATAAAAAGGGCAAAGTTCAGAAAATAGTCTTACTAATTCTGCCATCCGCCATATACAAGGGACTCTTTAGCTTAATTGACTAAATATGACATAATGGCATCATTATCAGTTGTTCAGCAAACTTACTGCAATCAGCAGAGCAAGATGCAGTTTTCTATGGTGCATGAGAAGAGGCTTTGTAATAAGCTTTTTGCATTAACAGATTGCTGTAAGTCAGCAGCCTGGCAGGGAATAATTAGTGAACAACATTGGAGTGATGTGAAATTAGCACCAAGAGCCCAGTTATCATTTGTTTTTGAGGAGTGGCTTGCTGCAGCTGGTCTTTTGCCCAATTACTCAGAGGCTTTGCACATGAGTCTCGGAAATCATCCCTGGATAAAGGGATCAGACAAATATCAAATGGTAAATATGTTTACATGGAAGGAAGGATCAAAGTATGAAATTTTGATACAGGAAATCGCCTGATCATCGAATCCAGAGCAATTGTTCCTACAGTGTCAGCCCAACTTTGTTTGACTTGCATTTTGTTTATTTGCAAAAGCTTTTCTCTTTCACTGCTAATTTATTTATTTTTTAAGTAGGATAAACAGAACATTAAGTTCTCACTTACCATTGTGTCTACCTTCTAGTGAGATGGCAGTCTGCTATGGAACCTTTGAAAAATCTTTCCTCCCCCTTGTCCCTCTCTCTGCCACCTTGCACCTGTTATGTCCTTTCACAGTCAAATTATCTGCAGTATTTGTATTATTATTATTATTATTATTAATTATTATTATTATTAATTATTAATATTATTATTAATATAATGTTTGTTAGTCACTTTATCTTGCCCAGGGCAACCCAAAGCGGCTTACAGCCAAACAAATAGACAACAAACCCCATATAGATACATTAAAACCAAGAGGAAAGAGAAATAGAAACAGGGAGCCACTGCAGGAAAGGGCCTGCCACACATATACTGCAGATACAGTACAGTGGTACCTTGGGTTACATACGCTTCAGGTTACAGACTCCGCTAACCCAGAAATAGTACCTTGGGTTAAGAACTTTGCTTCAGGATGAGAACAGAAATCGCGTGGCGGCAGCGCAGCAGCAGTGGGAGGCCCCATTAGCTAAAGTGGTACCTCAGGTTAAAAACAGTTTCAGGTTAAGAACGGACCTCCAGAACGAATTAAGTTCTTAACCCACGCAGCAGCAGTGGGAGGCCCCATTAGCTAAAGTGGTACCTCAGGTTAAAAATAGTTTCAGGTTAAGAACGGACCTCCAGAACGAATTAACTTCTTAACCCAAGGCATCACTGTATTGGGAAGAAGCTTTGAACAGCTTCAGGGTGCCACTCAAACTCCTCTCCTCTCCAGCTGCCAATCAAAACCTCAATGAATAATTCGAGTGGGACAGAGGGCAGTTTCCCCTGGCCCTTCTAGGAAGCTTTTGTGCACTGGCTCAAAACAACATAGTTTTTCCCAGTGCTGTTTTGGCCTTGCCTGCTTGACCCTATGAATCTGATAGCTTTCTAAGTCAGTGGTGTGGAAACACAGGCCCTGGGCCCCAAATGTAGACATACTTGACCCTCAGGACACTCTCCTCAGGCTGCACTCTTCACAGGCCTGGCTTTCCCCCCTCCAGAAGCCTTTTTTTATTTTTTGCCTTGCATCATATTTCAAACTGGTGTTTTAGAGAGGCTTCCTATTGCTGTAAGTGAATTGCAGCCACTCCAGTTCATCTGCCTTTTTTCTTTCTCTTTAATAATGGCTATCCATGTAGGATGCCCCATTGGGTGAGTTCAATGGAGTTTAGTGGTTCAATGGAGACAACACTTCTTTCTTGGATCAGATGTGCTTTCCCCACTTTTTCTGTGCTCCCTTAGCTTCCTAGGAGGCTGTGGGCAGGGATGGGGAACAGTGGTCTTCCAGTTGTTGTTGGACTCCATCATCTCTTGCTGGGAAAGCTGGCTGGGAGTTGCTATCCAACAATATATGGAAGGCTGCAGGTTCCCCACCCCTGCTGAAAGATGCATTTGGGTGATGGAGGGAAAGGGTTATCAGGGACATCAGCAAGGGTCTACCTCCTCCCTGTCACCTAGCTTTTAACTAGGGGACAGCATACCACTCCTTTCCCATAAGAGGGGTTTGTAATTTTCCCAAGGGCCACCATGCCTTTCATCGTGGTTCTTTATCCTCATCCCAAATGACACTATCCAGGCCCAAGGCAGTCTGGGAAGGGGAAAGAAAATGGTGGCTGGAGACACCAAAGAAGAACAACTTTGCCAGTTTGGTTATGGCCATTGCCACTTCTATAGGCAACAGCAAAGAAGTAAAAAAAGAAAGAAAGAAAGGCCTGCTACCACCTTACTACCTCTTTCTATCATTAGCCCAAAGGTGATGAATTTAGGCACACATTAGTATGATAGGACCAAATAATCAGGGTATCATTTTACCTCGGCCCTAGAATGAGGTCTGTTAGCTGTTAGTGATGCGGAGATGTGAGGGAAGCTAGAAATAATGAGTTTATTGAGAAACGTTTTCTCTGCTGGTGTGTGTGTGTGTGTGTGTAGCTTTGTTTTAATGAATTTTTGAGCTTTATGTTAGATCATGTTGTTTACAGCATTAACGTTAGTGTGTCATTGTTCGGGCTGATGGCCCTGCCGCATGCCATGCTCAGAAGTTCTGTCGGTGTGAAGCCCTGTGTGGATAAACTGCTCAGAGACATTCGATATGGCTATATTTAGCCCGTAAAAAATGTTGTACCTAATCCCCTTCCGCCAGCTTCTCAAATAACTGTTCACTTGGCTCCAGGAAGGCTCATGTAACTATTTGTCTCTTGTCTGATCGAAAGGAAGACTGGGGGCCGGCGGGGGGGGGGGGGAGACACAAGTAAAGAGGCTAAAAATAGGCAAATGCCTGTTGTTAGCAGGCTTATTTTAGGTGTATGATTCCGTTTGAAAGCAGGAAAGACATGGAGGCTGAGGGGGCTAGGATAGCGATGGACGTGAATCATTATTTCAGATCTCCTCATTCAACCATGAATTTGGAATTGATATAAAGCAGTCTTCCTCAACCTGGAGCCCTCCAACACACTCCAACCAGTGTTCCCTTCTTTCTAGTTGAGAACCTCAGGCTAGTCAGATAAACCAGACACTCTGGGTAGACAATATTGTGCCTTCCAGATGTTGTGCAACTGCAGAAGCAGCTGATGCAGCACCAGTCTAATGTGCTTTGGCTGACCCATTAGCAAATGATGGACAGCCATGGTATTTTCCACCAGCTAAAGTAAACCATGGGACGCGGGTGGCGCTGTGGGTAAAACCTCAGCGCCTAGGACTTGCCGATCGCATGGTCGGCGGTTCGAATCCCCACGTTCGGTCCCAGCGCCTGCCAACTTAGCAGTTCGAAAGCACCTCCGGGTGCAAGTAGATAAATAGGGACCGCTTACCAGCGGGAAGGTAAACGGCGTTCCGTGTGCTGCGCTGGCTCGCCAGATGCAGCTTGTCACGCTGGCCATGTGACCCGGAAGTGTCTGCAGACAGCGCTGGCTCCCGGCCTATAGAGTGAGATGAGTGCACAACCCTAGAGTCTGGCAAGACTGGCCCGTACGGGCAGGGGTACCTTTATCTTTAAAGTAAACCATTTTTGATGATGTTAATTAATAGATTAACATCATTATTAGATCAGCTTATTTTAACCTGGTGCCCTTCAGCTCCCACTAGCTTTGGCCATGCTAGCTGGTGCTAACAGGATCTGGTGTTCAACAAAACCTGAAGGGACACAGGTTAGCTATCCCTTCCCCAAAGCCTTCCACGATACAAGGTGTGAAATTGTCTTACCAGTTGTACAAATCATCTAAAGATTCCATATTTGTCTCCTTGCTTCATGCCCTCCTATTATCCCTAATGTAGCTTTTGATTTTCTTTGGTTTTTCTTAGGTACTGCTATGTGGATACTGGTTAGCAATGACTGATGTGGAATCTACATATGCAGATTTCATTGCTTCTGGGAGAACCGGGAGAAGAAATGCCCTTCACGATATCCTTGTGTCCTCTGCAAGTGGAAATTCTAGTGAACTATCCTTGAAGTTATCAGAACTTGATATAAACAAAACTGGTAAGTACTAATCTGAAAGGTTAAGAGAAAAAGCATTAATAAGTCTGCAAGGGACATCATTCATGGAAACAACATGCTGGGCTTTAGTGGCTTTTCACATTTATTGTTATTAATTTATTTACTTTTTTAAAAAAATAAATGTCTTACCTGCTCTTCTCCTTAAGGTTCCAAAGCAGGCTACAAAAATTTAAAATTCAGTATTAAAAATTAGTCTTTAGCTGGTTTGTATATGAGGGCATTTTATGTACTTCTATCTAGTGCAAGGCCATAGCAGAATAGTAGACTAGTTCATGAAATATGTTGCTGTATAAAAAGGACAACATCTCTGATTTTTTGAGTTAGTGCAGGCTACCACAACCCACCTACAATATGCTAACTTCCCCCTTCAAAAACAGATGGATTGTCATTTAGCCTTTTATGTGGCTGGTTAGTTTTGGCCAAGCTGGTGGGCCTATATTAGAGAAATGTATAATAAAACGGTGCTTTGAGGAGTCCAATTGATAACCCTGGTTTACCAGCTAAGACTAAACCCACACCATCCATTTAAAACACTATTATACCACTTCAAACAGTACACCCATGTACAGCTTGCTAAGAGTTGTTGGGAGACCCCTGTTCCTTTCGCAGATCCTACAGTTCCCAAAAAACTCTTAGCACTCATTACAAACTACATTTCCCAGGACTCTTTGGGGAAGCCATGTCTATTAAAGTTGTATACTGGTACTTTAAATGTATGGTGCAGTTGTGGCCTAACGCATCCCATCAGTGCAAGGATTTCTGTCTGTGATTTCCCTCCTCTCCTCTCTCCTCTCATGCTCTCTCCAGATCTGCTCTGGAGGGTTGGGAGAACCCCCAGAACAGATTTCAGGGACACGCAGGGGGAGGGGTGGAGTTGCATTGCACAAGCGGATTCCCTTGCACTGATGGAAGGAGTCAGTCGGATACCACTCAGTCTTTCCAGCTTCTACGAAGGAAGTTCTCTTCCCCCACCCCAATATCTCCACAATGGACATGAGCTCTGTGATACGGAGAAAGTTTCATGGTGTTAATAAGAGCCACTTAAGTCAATCTGCTCGGCACAGGATTGGGGAAACTGTTGCTGTGCAGAATGTCATTGATTCTTCTCATCGCTGACCACTGGCCATGTTGGCTTCAGCTAATGGGAGACGGTCTCCAACAACACCTTAGCAACTCAGAACCATCTACCATGAAGCTAACATACCCCAGGAAATCCTACCCACAGAGCAGTGATTTGGGTTTCTGGAAATTTTTGCATTGGAAATTTGCACCAGAATTTCCTTTTAGTTTTCGATTTCCTGATACCCTAGAGAGCGATCCAATTTGGCATGTTTATTTTGCTTGTATTTAGCAAACACAGATAAAAACTGTGAAACTGCCAAGCTTGCCTAATACTGTATTTGCAGTTGGCATCCACTGATTGCTACTAATGAACTTATGAAACAGATTTTCCTTTTTACACTTTCCATCCACATCCCTGCAGCAGAGTGGCCTTGTAATTACGGTAGGCACAATACTTTTGGGGCCCTGGGTTTATTTGGCCACTTGCTCCATGGGGACTCTCTAGGTAGGAAGGCATGTACAGGGAGCAAAGGGCAAACGCCTTCCCTTTCATGCCATTCTCGCATGCCTCTGCAAGGTTTCTGTACTCTTAGGTACCATAAAGAGGAATGCAGAGGTGTGAGACAACCCTCCCCGCTCTCAAGGGACAGAGCTGCAACAGGGAATAGAAGGAGATTTTATTTCTGTCTGCTATTTCCCATGTGTGAGGGTGCGAATATTGGCTGTGTTACTGTGTCTGAAAAAACTTCTTTCCATTGAACTGACACAAGTTATGACAGCTCTACCTAAGCATGGAATTTCTTGGTGTAATAAAAGTTCCTGGGAACAGCTTGCAGAGAGATCCACTAGTGAATATTTGCAGAGTGGTTGGAATGTGAGCGCAAAAGAGAATTCGTCCCTCCTATGGGATTCCATTTCCCATAACATAAATGCCATTTTTATGCATGGTACTGGAAAAAAGCCAAGGGTTTTCCCATCACTCCTTTGATGCCAGTGGGGTGTAGTGGTTAAGAGTGGTAGACTCATAATCTGGGGAACCGGGTTCGATTCCCCGCTCCTCCACATGCAGCTGCTGGGTGACCTTGGGCTAGTCACACTTCTCTGAAGTCTCTCAGCCTCACTCACCTCACTGAGTGTTTGTTGTGGGGGAGGAAGGGAAAGGAGAATGTTAGCCGCTTTGAGACTCCTTCGGGTAGTGATAAAGTGGGATATCAAATCCAAACTACTCCTCCTCTTCTTCTTCCTAATAATAATAATAATAATAATTCTGGCAGCTAAGTACAATAAGCTGGATGGCACACACAGTTGCATGAGTGCATGAACCTTCACAGTTATAACATGACATAATGCTTACACCTCAAGCAATGTACATCCAAGTATGAAGTACATCACGCGCTTCTGTATACCCACAGAACTTCCATTCTTCTTTATGTACTCTAAATTAGCTAGTTACCAGGCACATTTTTTAAACTCATTGACTATTAAAGAAGCCAAACCAAACACCCATCCATGTCTTTCAGTGCCATGGAATTTGCAGGCTTAAACTAGATTAGTCTGGAGCATGGGTAGGCAAACTAAGGCCCGGGGGCCAGATCCGGCCCAATCGCCTTCTAAATCCGGCCTGCAGACGGTTTGGGAATCAGCGTGTTTTTACATGAGTAGAATGTGCCCTTTTATTTAAAATGCATCTCTGGGTTATTTGTGGGGCATAGGAATTTGTTCATTCCCCCCCAAATATATATATATATATATATATATATAGTTCCCCCCCCCCAAGGTCTGAGGGACAGTCGACCAGCCCCTTGCTGAAAAAGTTTGCTAGCCCCTGGTCTGGAGGGTAGGACCCGTACCAACGACTTCAAGTTACAAGAAAGGAGATTCCAGCCAAACATCAGGAAGAACTTTGACAGCAAGAGCTGTTCAACAGTGGAACGGACTCCCTCAGGAGGTTGCGGACTTCCCTTCCTCGGAGGTTTTTAAGCAGAGGTTGGGTGGCCATCTGTCATGGATGCTTTAGCTGAGATTCCTGCATTGCAAGGGGTTGGACTAGATTACCCTTGGAGGATCCCGTCCAACTCTATGATTATGTGGTCTGGGTGCTATTTCACCACTGCTTAACTTTTTTTTTCCTCACAGAAGGGGAAGGAGATGCACAGAGAAATCCCACTGAGCAAACTGGGGAAGCCCAGGGGGAAGCAGCAAAGCAAGAAAGTTGAGATCCTACTTTGACCGACAGCCGCAACTGTGGGATGTTTTCAAATCGCAAAAGCCTATTGGGAGAAAGGTATTTTGTGAGCAAGCTGATTGAACAAAAAATGAAAATGGATGCGCCTCGTTACTGGGAGCTGAACGGTCCAATGCTGAAAGGGGCAAAGCAGGCTGTAGCAGCAGACAGAACTTTCTCTACCTCTGTTAGCAATGGTTGAGACTTGGTTGCTCATCTCGAGACTCTCTCAACATGGATCTCACCACAAATGACCACTTGATGAAATGCTCGTAGGAAGTAGAGCAAACTACATCGTGTAGCAAACGGCCCTCAACTCACCAGAGGCTTGAATTGCATTGTATGACAATGGCTCCAGTGATCTTCAGAGGTTGTCTGACCTTCAGAGGGTGTTCACCTATTAAAATCACCTGTCAAGGAAGCACCGTTGGTTTGTTTTTTTAAGAACTCTGCTTGTTTTCAGCTCTATTACTTACAATGTTTTATATTGTACAGTTTAGATGCGCCACACTGCCCCTTCTCAAAATGCTTATGAAGGCAACTTCTGTGACTGTGATTTTTTTCTACCACTTGTTTTAAAAGGGCTAGGGTTTTATTTTCGCATAGTGTGGTGGGTGTGCACATGATAAGATTATCAAATCAGCTGCTAATCTGATGAAACTGCATTCTTTCATTTATAAGAACATACAGTGTAATTAACGTATAGTTTGGTGTGTCTTGCTGTTTTCTCAGTACAGTTCGGTCACTTTGCTTGTAGATGGTTGGAAATCCAAGATTCAGACAGAATCTTTTATTTAATCTCATCCCTTAGGGAACTGGCCTTTTCCACTAAAAAGCCAAAAAAAACACACACAAAAACACATGATGTTAGTGCTGAGGTTTTAAGAGCAAACTTATCAGTACAACTTTTTTTTAAAAGGAGAAATAATATGTTGGGAGCTGATGAAACAGAAGCCCCAGAAAGTTGCTGAATACTTGTGTCCTGAAATGAAGCATAAATTTATTGTAGTGTTTAGAACTGGGGTCACCTTGTCTCTCAGCAGCTGAGATTGGAGTTAAACATGAATATTCCTGTGGCAATCAAGTGGAGCAGCAATCACAAGTCCCCCTTCCCATCCCAATTTGTTTTCTTTATTTTTATTTTTAAGTGTTGTCCTGTTTTCTTCTTGTTTTCAGATGTTATGCACTTTTTAAAATGTTTATAAACTTTACTAAAGGACTAGTGTAATTTTGCTTTCTAGTAAATTTGAACGTTGGTTAATGAAACAACCTTTACTGTTGTGGCCACGGCTGTTTCTACAATATATACATATTGTGGTTAGTTGTCACTTAGAGGTTTTTTGTGTGTGAGATGTGTAAACTCTCTAATCAGTATTGAGTTCAGTAATTAGTGTTGAATAAATAACAAACCCAGCAGTATGTTTATGGCTCGTTAGCACAGTTTGCTCCTGCTACACCTCTAGTTTATTTAGAAGGTCCTTTCCTTGATGCTTAACTAGCTATCAGACTCCTATTTTAATTGAAGAACAGTCCACTTATGGTTGAGGTTTTGACTTTAAACATGCACAACCTAATTAGAAATGTGGTTTCCATTCTGGTGACCTGCTTCTCTTATGTTTCATTTCATCTTTACCGTCACATATGCATACATTTTTAAATAAGAACACTAATTATATTAGACAGAGATCAATAAAAGTGACAAGTCTGATACACGAGTTTGGTTTCTAGGAAAGCTTCCATGGTGCATATTTGACATGCATGTGTAAGGTAGGTGGAAGAAAGATCTTAGTCCGCTGGCCAGTTTTTTTGAAAAACAATTCAGTGCCTGCTGGTTGCTGAGATTTTTTGCCAGGAATGCTTGACTGGGCACTTAAATATATTTTTAAGGAAATGTGCATTGTTGGGATCACTCAAGACAGGTTAATTTATGCCAACTATTAAAGAGAACTTGAGTCTATAGAGTATGTGTCTATATTAAATTTATAAGCAAATCACATAGATTCTAAGGTGTGGGAGCTGTGGACAATAGTGGCATGGTAGATACGGAAGGAAGAAACAGCACATTCAGGCTGAGAGGTTTTTGTCCAGTAGACCTCATGTTTCTCAAAAGGGGGCAGGGGAGAAGAAGCAGTGGGCAATTTAAGAAAATCCAAGAGGTAGGATTGGTTTGACAGGAAGGGAAACAACTCAGGTTGGTATACAATTTTGAGTATCCTTGAGCAACAGATTAAAGGAGTATGGAGTCCCAATAACATGAATTACACATGGGTGAGAGGTTAAAGTCTCTCAGACTAGTCTGGCTATACAGACCTGGGATGCAAGTATAGGTCTCAGGCATCACACACCATTCTGAGTTCCTTCCTCTCTGTCATCTGTTAAGTCTCTCTCTTTCTAGTTCTCTCTGCAGCCTTCAAAACTCTGCAATCAGAAGACACACACACACAGAGAGAGAGAGAGAGAGAGAGAGCGCAGCTCCTACGGGCAACATTTTGAGCAGCAGGAAGTTCTACAGCATGTTGTTGGACTGCAAGTTCCATCAGCCCCAGCCAGCACAGCCAATAGGGGTAATATCAGTTGTAGTCCAACAACCGCCAGAGGGCCACAGGTGTCCCATCCCTGGTTTATCAGTTGCGTTGAGTTGATTGCTCTGCCAACCTCATTTGATTTGCTCCAGAAGCATTTCCAAAATTGTTTTAAAGCAAAAAAAAAAAAGTGGGCAAAAGTGAGCAAGTAGAGCCTGATATAAAGGGATTTGCTCAATAGATGCACATTTTCTCAGTCTACACCTGCAAACATAGTGGATGACTCCTCTAGAGATGCAGAAAGTTGAACCAGCTGATACGGTAACTATTTGCTCTGAATATAGCATAGGTGGCAAAATTGCAACTCTCCGTGTACCAGAAAATATAGGAAATTTGAGTGGAGACACACAAAGTAGTCTTACACAATTTTAGCATATTGTATGGATGAACTCTCACTGGAGAACATAAGAAGAGCCTGCTGGATCAGGCCAATAGCCCATCTATTCCAGAATCCTGTTCTCATATTGGCCAACTAGATGCCCATTAGAAGCCTGCAAGCTGAAGCATTCTGCGCACCTACAATTCCCAGCTACTGTTTTTCAGAGGCATACTATGTCTGACGGTGGAGGTAGAACGTGGTCATCATGGAACTGAACAATTGCTTGGACCCCAAGTTCTTGCAAACTTGATACTATTTCTACCCACCCCCAATCCCTGTTAGTTTTCAGCTGTGAAGTTTAACGAACAGGCAAGTGGAAACAAAAGCAGATGGAGAAATAGAAAATGTTTCAATATATTTTCCTTTTCTATTTCATAGACGCTAATTGATCCAACTGTCTCACTTGCAAATACTGTTCCAGGAAAACACAACAACAGTTGCACACAAAAAAACCAGACTTTCTAGACAGGCCATTTAGTGTTATTAATAGTCCTTGTTCAGAGGAGCTTCAGCTTGGCCTTTGGAGAAATACACTAAGCTCCGTAGCTGGAATAAGGTAGATTTACCATATACAGTGGTACCTCAGGTTACATATGCTTCAGGTTACATACGCTTCAGGTTACAGACTCCGCTAACCCAGCAATAGTACCTCGGGTTAAGAACTTTGCTTCAGGATGAGAACAGAAAGCGTGCCGCAGCGGGAGGCCCCATTAGCTAAAGTGGTGCTTCAGGTTAAGAATGGACGTCCAGAACGAATTAAGTATGTAACCAGAGGTACCACTGCAATCTGATGGACCTATACTCATAAGTAGCTCCGACTATTGCCATTGGGATTTATTTATACAATTAAAATAAATGTGTCACTTCTCAGGAATGGTGTAAAGTAAGTATAATACACACCATTTCATGGGAGCAAGTTATATTTATTTAAGGTGTTTATATTCAGCTACTGTAACCAGAGAGCCCTTAGGCTATTTGCATTCAGAAACAAACAGACAGACAAAAACAATGCCCAAAATATGCAAGGGTGGTGTGCAGGTGGTTTTCTTTCCACTAGAGATTTATCCAACCCTCTGCAGCCTTCCTGGCTGCTTGTGCTGCTTAATCTAGAAAAAATCCACTGGGAGAAGTTACTTCATGATGTCTTACTCTGGGTTTTGACTGAAGCACAGGCACCTGGGAAGGCTGCTGAGTGCAGACCACTGTTGAGATTATTTGTTGCAATGGAAGAAAGGACACAAATTTCCCTGGGCCACCTAAGAAGTTCGGTAAGCGCATTGAACGTCCCCCACTCCGCCTTGAGAATGTCAGATTTCCCCCCCCCCTCGCCCTTTGATTTTTTAAAAAAACTTACTGTTTTCAATATATAGTACACAGCAGCCACATTCAAATAAGCATGTGAGTAACAATAAGAAAACAACGCAACACAATGTCAGGTTGCTCACTATGTACACATATCAGCATTCAGAAAAGGAGGGGCAATGCAGAAAGATCATGGCACAGAAGTGAGTGCTACAAGACGAAGATGAGACTAGCTGTTTGTGCAAAGAGTGTCTTGGTGTCTCCGTAGCCACAGGCCTTCCACTGATCCGGTTCAGACAGGCTTTGTGCCAGCCTGATGCTGTCAGTAATTTTTTTTCTCTCCTGATAGAGCTATATTCCAAATATGGTTGTACCAGCTTTCTGGAGGATAGTCACATGACTTACTCCAGCTATAGTCGTGTGTAGCTACTAAGAGCTGAGTCATCAAATCTTGGAACCCTGGAAGGCAGCGAGAAGAGCTAGCAAAGGTGATTTAGGATCTTGCTGGGCAGCGATTCCCGGTAAGATAAAAAGAAAAAAGCCAAATTCAGAACCATAGGGACAGGGCCACCACATATGCATTCAAGAACCCCATTTGCCTCATGCCCTGCCCTCCATCAACTGGGAGACAGATTACTATTAATACATCTTAGGACAACAAGAATTAAGATGTCAGCAGTACATAACTTTTACCCTTTGATAATTTTCTAATGTGGTTTCTTTTCTCATTCATTGATGGAGAATGGTAAAAATAAGAATAAAGGAGACGTTTGTGGCTCAGCATTAGCAGAGGTGCTCCAGAGAACGTGCTGTTATGGGTTGGCTTTGAAAGGCAATGTGTAGAGGCAACTCCCCTGGAGACTGTTTATTCGTGTCAAGGCCCATTTCCTCGTTTCATCATGAAGCCCCATGTCGACAACAGAAGGCGCTGCCTACCACAATCCACAGAAGCTTCTCCAGGGTGGTTACCGAGTCCTCAGAGGCCTTCTGAGCTTAATGAGCATTGCGTTATTATTAACATGTTGGTTTTGTGAAGGCCCTCCCTTCCTGAACAAAGCTTTTCTTCATAGAATAAACACTGCAGTATACACACTGGTTGCTCTTTACACGCCTCATTTGTCGTTCTGTCCAACCGCAGCTATGGGCCACACAACATATGGCATTAATTGCATGTAAGACCTTAAAAGAAAAGAAACTACCCACGGCAGGGAAGGGGGCAGGCGAACAGGAGTTTCTTTAAATTGGCTAATAAGGTGGGGGGTTTGGGGCTGGGGCTGTAGTGGGGCAGGGAATATAATTAACCTCTTGTGCTTCCTCCTGCTTGTCCTACTCCTAGGGCAGCAATCTCCATTTTTTGAAATGTGCCTGTTAATTGCTCACATCAGTGAAGTTCGAATTTATTCAGGCTATATCTCAGCTCCCCCCCCCCGTACCCTTCAGGTGTTTGGGGCTACAATTCACATCATTCACAGCCATTGGCCATGCTGACTAGGCCTGGTGGTCTTTGGGAATCCAAAACAGCTGTAGATCACCAAGAAAGGAAAGAGCCGCTTAACTTGTTCCAATCCAGAGCTCTCCATGAGCTTCGGTATTTAAAGGTATACAGTGGTACCCCGCAAGACGAACGCCTCGCAAGACGGAAAACCCGCTAGACGAAAGGGTTTTCCGTTTTGGAGGCGCTTCGCAAAACGAATTTCCCTATGGGCTTGCTTCGCAAGACGAAAGCCCATAGGGAAATCTCCGGGACAGCGGGGAAGCGCAGCGCGTCTTCCCCACTGTCCTCGGACCTCCTCCGAAGCCTGGCGGCGGGGCGGAGAGACCTCTTCCCGCCGCCAGGCTTCGGAAGGATGCTCCGAAGCTAAAGAAGCTAAAGCAGCCTGCCGCGACCCTCTCCCGGCTGGAGAGGTGACGCGCGCCTATGGCAGGAGCCTCCATAGCCGAGCGTCACCTCTCCAGCCGGGAGAGCGCGCGCGGGGCTAAAGCAGCCCCCCGCGACCCTCTCCCAGGTGACGCGTGCCTATGGCAGGAGCCTCCATAGCCGAGCGTCACCTCTCCAGCCGGGAGAGCGCGCGCGGGGCTAAAGCAGCCCCCCGCGACCCTCTCCCAGGTGACGCGCGCCTATGTCAGGAGCCTCCATAGCCGAGCGTCACCTCTCC